TATTTACCAGGTATGGTGAAGCAGAAAAATCCCAAGTTCAAGCCCAGCCCAAGCTTCTTAGCAAGACTTTTATCAACATTTAAAATATATAGTTTAGTGCAAATAGCTTATGGGTTAATTCCCAACACCATAAAAAGAAAAAATGTTCCTTATGAGCAAAGGATCTGACTTCAAGAAAATAAAGACAATTCAAAATTCACAACTGACACACATTAATTGGCTGCTGTAGTGTATGCTCGTAATTCCAGCTATTCAGAAAGCTGAAACAGGACAGTTTCAAGTTTGAAGACGAGCTGGACTACTCAGTGAGACTTGTCACAAAATTTTAAAAGGACTGTGACAACAACTCCGTGACAGAGTGCCCATGCTTTGATACTCAGTGGGGGAGTGGATATCAATAAATACGACACACCATATAAACTGAATAAAGCACAAAAATGCTTATTTCAAATAAGACACAAAACATCTAATACAATTCAACAAACCATCATGATAAAAATACTGAACAAATCAGACACACAAGGAATACACCTCAAGATAATAAAAGCCATTTAAACAATAAGCCAACAGCTAACATTAGGTTGAGTAGAGGAAGGCAGAAATCTTTGCATCTACATCTGGAACAAGACAAGGATGTCCATTTTTTGTTGTTGTTGTTTTGTTTTGTTTTTCAGTTTTGTCACTTTTATTCAATTTAGTAGCCACAGCAGATAATCTAGAGAAAGAAATAAAGGGGCATCCAAATTGAAAGAAAAAAAAGTCAAATCATCATTTGCAGAAGACATTTTCTTGTATATCAAAAGACTCGGAACCTACATTTAGGCTGGATGTGGTGGCACACACCTGTAATTCCAGAACTCAGGAGGCTGAGGCAGGAGGACCAATGCAACTGAGGCCAACCTGGGCTATAAAGTGAGTTCAAAGCCAGCCTGAACTGTAGAGTGCAACCCTGTCTCAAAAAGAAATAAGAAAAGAAAAAGAAAAAGAAGGAAAGGAAAGGTAGAACAAAAGGCTGAATTCAGCAAAGTTGCAGGATATAAAAATCAACACACAAAATCAACAGCTTTACCATATATCAATACCAAGGATGCAGAAACAGAAATCAAGTAAGCAATCCGATCTATAAAAGCTACCAAAAAAATTAATAAGATACATAAAAATAAATTTAACCAAGGAAGTGAAAAACCTGGCCTGGTGGTCCACATCTGTAATCCCCGCACTCAGAACTTGATGCAGGAGGACTGCTAGAACTTTGAGGACAGCCTGAGCTGGCTAACAAGCTAAAGGACAGCCTGGACTACAAACTGTCTGTCTCCAAAAAAACAAAACCCATCAACAAAAAGGTGGACGCTGTCTACAACTAAATTATATAGGAACCACTGTTAAAAGAAATCAAAGAAAACACAAAAAACGAGAACATCCCATGTCTGTGAACTAGAAAAATCAATACTGTTAAAATGTCCACACTATTCACAGTTATTTACAAATTCAGTACAATCCCTACCGAAGTACTAACTGCATTCTTCACACAACTAGAAATTATATAAAACCACTAAACCCTTAAATAGCCAATGTCATTTTTGGACCAAAAGAACAAACCAGGAAAGCATTACGCTACCTGTAGGAAACGCTACAAGCTATAACAATCAAAAGCAGTACAGTATTAGCATAAAAGCAGACACAAACCAGTGGAAGAGAACAGAGAGTCTAACAAACTCATGCATTTATGCATGCATGCAAAACTTGAGTTTTGACAAAGGTAATACAAACACACACTGAAGAAAGGACAGTCTTCAATACAGCTGGGAAAACTGTATATCCACATGCAAAAGAATGAAACTAGACCCATTATCACTCACTAGTTACAAAGATCAACTGAAAATGGATTAAAAGTTTTAATGTAAGACTTGGAACTATGAAACTACTCAAAGAAAACAGAGTAGCAGGATATACAACTCAGTCGTATAAGGGCCAGCAAACAAGACAGGACTCCAAAAGCACAGGGAGAAAAGCAAAAACATACAAAAGGGATTATACATCAAACTCTAACACTTTTGCACAGCAAAACAATCAACTGAATGCAGAAACCACATACAGAAAATACAAATGTATATATCTGACAAGGGGACGACATCTAGAATACAGTACATAAGGGATTCTGAAAATGCAATGATAAGAAAAGTATAAGGAAATTTTACAATGTGCAATAAATCTAAATAGACATGCTCTATTTAGAAGATATGCTATTGGCCAACAGGGACATTTTAAAAATACTCAATAGCACTAATCATCATGGAAATGCAAATGACTACAATGAGGTTTCACCTTACCCCCAGTAAGAATGACTAATATCAAAAAGACTAAAGACAGAAGTACTGGTAAGGATGTGGAAGGAAGAGATCCCTGGCAGACTGTTGGTAGGTATATCAATTACAGTATTACTAACATTTACAGAAAACAGCATGGAAGTTCCTAAGAAATTTAAAAATACAACTACCACTGGCCCAGCAATCTTACTGCCAAGAAAGAGTCAAAAGAAAATGAAATCAGAATGTTGAAAAGACATCCACACTCACATATTCATTGCAGTACTACTGATAATGGCCAAGAAATAGAATCAGCCTAAGTGTTCATCAACTGATGAACGCAGTCATAAAAGAAGAATGCAGCCTTCTTGCTTTTCACAACATGGATGGAACTAGACACCATTATGTTAAGTGAATTAAGCCAGAAAGATAAACACTACCTGATTTGAAGAGTTTATTTCACAGACATTGATTTAAACGGTGGTTACTAGAAGTTAGAAAAAAAGAGTACAGGCACTCTATGGCATATTAGTGCATAATACGGGACCTTTACGTAACCGTTGTATACCATACACTTTAAAAAGGAACAATTCTGCATGTTTTCACCACAATGAAACAATAAGTACTTAAGGAGATAAATATGCTTAACCTAAATTAAACATTATACAATGTATATATGTACTAAGCATTATACCTCATTGTGTAAAGTATAATAGTTTAGCATTCACATTATTTTTCTATCAGTTAAATTTAAAAATCTCTATCATATGATTACTTCCTAGCACTTCTTATTGCCCAAACTCTAACAATACATCATTCATCTATTTTAAATATTATTCTTTAAATATTTAACATGCTTTAAATCACTAGAGCCTTACTGTATTTCTGGGAAATACTAATGTCTAATAAAGATATGCTTTGGAGTCAGCTCACTCAAACCTAACTTCACTTCAGATGATTTATGACAAATTAAACTTTTAATTAATTGAAATTTAATTTCAAATTAAAGGCTGCAAAATAATTCAAGAATATGTGCTAGGTATAGTGGTGCATACCTATAGTCCCAGCACTTGGGAGGCTGAGGTAGGAGGATAGCTGTGAGTTTGATGCCAGCCTGAGCTCACAGTGAGTCCAAGGCAAACAAAACAAAACAATTCTTTAGTTTCTGTCACATTCCAGAAGTTTAGGTTAAGTAGTTTAACCACTTTCTTTACCCCAACATCATTCAGGCAGTGCATTTGTTTACATACTGTCCCAACCGTTACTCATCAGTGTCATTTCAGTCAATTTTTGTATTGAATAAATCTGATAAAATTGTTATGTGTTTCCTGTTATATTATCTTTTTAAAAATAATAAGGAAAAAATACGTAATTGTTGGTCATTCTTTATTTAAAGAATTCTTAAGTGGTTAAAGCACTCTAGAGATGGACTTCCCAGGTTTCCTAGTTCTTCCCAGAACCTAGTTCTGCAATTTATAAAGCTCTATGACTTAGGGAAACTATTTAACTGCTCCTTCCCCCAGTTCCCTTATCTGAAAAGTAAGGATAATAAAAGTACATGCATGAAACATGATGTGATGACTAAACTAAATTACCTAATACACCATAGTTGCTTCTGGTTGCTCTGAAAGTCTGAATTTCTAATTCATGGCTTCATTACTCTAAACTATTGCTCTAAAGTATTCATTACAGAACCTGTAGTATTATAGATAGCTAAGTTAGGTAGAAATAAAGTGGACAGTCAGACAGGGCTGGGCCCTTGAGGAAGTCAAGGCTAGTTCTACACAATCCTGTAAGGGATGATGGGAGGCTTGGGATTACTGGTATTGCCCTATTGGTATTTCCCATTATTTCACTATGGTTGGGCCAGCCTCTCTCTCTCACCTACTAAGACTAAAAGACTAAACTGCTAAGACTAAAGAAAAGGCCAAGACTATAGATTATCAACCTAAATTAAGGATGCCACCTACCCTTGCTACCACTAGATCAATATTAGCTAAGTAACTGTAACTGCAATCTTATTGGTTGATAACTTTGACACACACTGTATCCACCTCATGATTTTGCTCTATAAAACTTCCTTTGAGAGATGGGCTCTTTGATAACCCACTCAAGATCCCTTCTGTCTCTCAGGAACTATTCCTATTGTCCAAACCTATTTCTCATTCCTTTTCAACAATAAATTTTCCTACTCTTAACATCCACTGTTTCTTAGAATTTGTTCTTCACCTTTGGGGAACACAAATTCCATGTATTTGACATCTAACATTTCCTCTGTATCAGTAGCACGTGCCCATAATACTTATACACAGTAAGCTGAGGCAGGAAGATCCCACAGGTTCAATGTCAACCTGAGCTATGCAGTGACTTCAAGGACAGGAACTACATCACACACATAATGAGACCCTATCTCAAAAACAAACAATAAATCTTAAAGGGATGAGTATGCAGCTCAGCACTAAAATGTTTGTCTACTAGGTAGGAGGTGAGATTTGATCCCCAAGATGGGAACTAGGGGGAATCAAATCTAACCTCCTGCATACTGATATATGTTTAAAAACAATAGAAAGATTATCTCATTATTCTTTAAAAACTCATCTCCAACTATATGGCTCGAAACTTCACACTGAATATACATATAATGCCATATGCAGGGACTTTAGAAGATCCGTAGCAAAGAATCTAAGAACTTACCTTTGGTGCATGCACACAGTCTATCTGTGCCAGAGCAATAAATGACAGAAACAAATGTGTCCTGTTCTTCAGTGCCCTCCTTTTTGGGAGGTTCTACTTTGGCCAAAATTTCAAAGTTTGAAAGATCTAATATTTTTACATATCCTCCCTGAGTGGTTATTACCAGATGTCCAAGAGTAGAAATATCAGACTTTTTTTCTCTCTCAATGCCATTCTTTGAAGTTAACTGCATTTCTTCAACAGGCTCCTCACAGTCATCTTCTCGATTATCTAATATATCTGGTGGAAGCAAAATGAGTGAGGTAATTGTGTCCTGGGGGTCTTTGATATGTTGGATTTTTATTGGCTCCTCTTCTAAAGTTACTATTCGCGTAGCATAATTCATTTTATAAAGTACTAAATATCCTCCACTAACATTCCTCTGCTCAGGTTGAATTATCAAAGGGGTCTGTACATCTGCTGGTGATTCGTGTTGGATTACACTAATATTTGCACCATTCACTACAGCAAGGTTTGATTCCAGTTCAGCTTTCCGTCTATTACATAGTGCAGAGTTTAATTTATTTAAATTATTCAAGGCCTCTACTTGATTTATTGCACTCAAGGATTCGACAGGGCATGTCCGCAGTCCTACCAACAAGTGAATTCCATCAGCACAAGGAGTTATTGAGTCTACACAGAGATTTTCCTCTTCCGCAAACTTTGGCAGTCGCAAACACTGAACCAAAGTTCCAGGCTTGGGAAACACAGAATTCCACTTCTCAGAATCTGGAGAGGTAAGGCTGGCTGCTGCATCTGCAAATTGCTGAATGTAAGTCACAGGAGGATCCTGCAACAACAACTGTTCCTGATTATCCAGCTCCATTTCAATAATCTGTGGAACTGTAAAACCATCATCATGCAAACTTTTACTCATAATATTGTTCATCTGTGAAAAGATTTTTCCTGCTTTCTCATCAGATTCTTTGATGCTATAAAGTAGTAAAACAGGTAAAGTCCTCCTTACCAGAGGAGAATTTAGTTCTGAATTAGTGCAGGATTCATTGTCAGTCGACCCTTGTTCTGATATACTTTCACCCTGAGTTCTGTTTAAACCATCCAGTGACCTGTGAGAATTACTACTAATGGGTGAAGTAGCAGGGGATTTATATGTTAATAAACCTCCAGCTAATAAACATGGAAAGGGAATGTTGTGTTGTTCCTGATGCTTTTCCTTCGCCTTTTCACTCTTAGAGTTTAAGCAAGGATTTGCCCCAAGTTCTTCAAGATCTTTGACAGTATCCTCAAGCACGTTTGCAACAATCTCCCACTGAAGTTTTTCTGGCTGTTGGAGAATGCTGAGCGCTGTTATATCAAGGCTTACTTCCATGGCTTCCTTCTGTGATGTATGCCCTTTGAAAAGTAACAACATTTATTAGACAATAGCCTTGTTAATGTAAAAGGTCTCTAGCTTAATTTTTTTAACTTATTTAATTAGTACACTATAGTAGAAGTATTTTAAAACAACCAAATCGGAGATGAACCTGCTCACAAACTCTAAAGGTCAAGGAACTCAAAATTATTCTCAATTTAGAATATATTCCCGTAGGAATTAGGGACCAAAGTGCTATTAAAAACATAAGCAACTGCCAAGCATAGGCACAGTGGAACAAGCCTATACTCCCAGATGATCCAAGAGGATCAAAAGTTTGAGGCCAGGGTGGAAACTTAGCTAGACTCATTCTCAAAATAATGGAACAAAATGAGCTGATGATTTAAGTCAGCGACAGAATGGCCTTGGGTTTGATCTCTAGTACCACACACATCCACACCCACATCTCTACGCTCACACACAAAGACCTAAAGAGTAATTCTTATTAATTCATTACTTAAAATCAAGACTTAATAACAGGATTTTTCCACTTTAGTTCTGAAAAAAAAGGCATGCAATATTATTTATGCAACCTGAAAAATAACCAAGACATATTATCCCAACTTCTGCCCACCACTTAGAAGTGAAAGCACCATTTTTTCTCTAACCTCACCATGCTGATTATCAGATTTCTACAGAAGGCAAATTAATCCTGAGTTCAGAAACCAAATAAAAATCAGAAAAGAAAATAGTCTCAGTTTTTCACATAAGTGTCTTCTGCAGCATTTCTAATTTTAATTTAAAGGAACACATCTATATTACTTTATCCCTTATTCAACTTTTTTATATTGTGTTTCTTCAAGCTGACCCTCCATCAGTAGTATAAAAGTCACTTCTGAGACTTAATCTTCCAAATGCGATCTCATAGAGACAGAACCCTAGAAGAGATGTTACATAACCTCTCAAATCAATTATAATCTCTTGACTCTGACTGAAAATTCTTTCAACCAATCTGTTTCTCAGTAGCATAAAACAATGATCAGCAATCACTTAAAGGGAGTAGCAATAACTTAAAGAGCAATTTTAAGTGATTATGGAAACAAAAAAATAAAAATTGCCTTCACAATTTGATGCAAACAATAAAAAAGAGTAAGGCAAATAAATATAAAACTCAAGGTGATTACATGAAGGTTACAGAACAAAAAAAAAAAAAAAAAAAAACAAATAACAGATCCTTTCAACATAAAGCAATTAAGGTACACGGAAAGTTCCTGTTAACTATTTCATTCATGATCTCGTCCACATTTTCCCTGACAGCTTCATCTACAGTTGTCCAAGAGCTAGAATGATCATACTTCGTATAGTATTATTACTATCCTCTACAACTGAAATATTTTCTACCTAAAAAGATGAAAATATTAAGCTGTAAATCCTACTTGCAAGTAATGAGGCTATTCATTTAAATACTCTTTGGTTACGATCACTAACTGCCATTACATTGCCATGAGATACTTATGTTGATTTTCTTTACTAATTTTGTGTTTTAGGTCAAAAACTAAAGGATGAAAGTGAAGGATTTTCCCCATTAAACGCAAGGCCTTTTGTACTCCAGGCAAGTGCTCTACCAAAGAGCCACATTCCTAGTTCCTGAAACTAACCTCTTTTTTTTTAACAAGCTGTGTACTACACTAAATCCTGAGGGTGTTCACCTATTTGCTGGACTAACCTGACAAACTAAACAATGTCTTAAGTTACAACAGAAATTTCTAAGAAAATACAAATTTAGTCATATATGTTAGGAAAACATATGAACCCTAAATTATATTTGCTAATGTAAACTGAAGCCAATAAAGAAGTATGTATAATTAAAACTGCATTACAAAGGAAAATATAATGAGTAGCACTATTATTCTGGTTCCCCTTAAGGATTCAATTAACATCTGGCAAATATACTCTATGAATATATACTATATTTTCAAGACTAACAAAAGTCACATTGGTAACTGACAAATCTCATGGGTAAGCAAACCTATCATCTCTTATACCAAGAGTTTCTATATACTACTAGACCAGAAAAAAAGTTTTTATACAATATACTTTAAAACATCCTTCAGTACAATTTCTTTTTAGACAATCATTTCAGGAAACTCGTCTCTACTCTACGTTCTTAGATAGTGGCAACCCCTCAGCCAAACAGCAAGGTTAGCAACTAGGTTTTATCGCAGTACTTTTCTAAGGCCATCAAATTTCAATTTGTTTATTTTGTTCAGAGTGCTGGGCATTGAATCCAGTGCCTCATGAATGCTACCACTGTGCTACACACTTCGCCCTCAAATTCCAATTTGAACTCTTCTTCAATCTCCGGCCAACATTCTTCTCACTCTTCATGACAAGTCCCATATTATGGCTTACATCCAGATCTCCCCATAAAGCCTCATGGACTCATTATTGCTCTTTTGGGAATGGATCAGGGGTGATACTAGATCAGTCCAGTGACTGGCTTACCATTGTTCTGGGTATGAATGATGGCTGTATTGAAGGGGTAAAACCTACTGCGGGTGTGGGGGGCAGCAGCAAACAGGCTTGTAGCCTGAATGGAATAAAAAAAAGAGGAGGAAGTCTTCCCATCTGCCCTGCCATTAACTGTTTCTCCTCTGGCCATGTCGCCTTGCCTTGGAATCAGCTGGACACAAACTGAAACCTCTACAAATTGTGAGCTAAAATAAACGTGTGTTCCTGTGAGTACCAGGTATTGTGTCTCAGTGATAAAAAAGTAACTAACATTCTCAGTACACATGAAGCTGAGGCAGGAAGACTGCTGAGTCAAGGCCAGCTTGGACTACAAAGTGAGTTCAAGGCCAGCCTGAACTACATGGTGAAATCTTGTCTCACAAAGAGAAAAAAACAAAGATCAAAAAAAAAAAAAAAAAGCACAATAAGTAACCAATACTTTTATATGTCCAAAAGCCAAACTTTTTTCATTAATATCATCTTTAAAAGTCATAGCTTTCAACTGAAAAACAGATATCTGTCTCTATCTACACTTAGATTTTTCAAGTTAAAAAATAAGAGTCTAGAGGCCAGGGTTATTTATAGCTCAGCAGCATAAGCACTTGCCTGACAAGTGCAAGGTCAAGAGTTCAATTCCTGATACACACACAAAGTTTATAATTATGCTGTGTCTTCCAACTTAACGTAAATCACCTACAGTTATAAATACAAGTTTTGAAATGGCACCTGTGTTTTTATACACTTCTAGAAAAGGACACCACTCATTAATATCAAATATATACTTGGCTATGTCCACAAGACTACCAGAAAGTCAAAAACAGTCTTTTAATACAACAAAATTAGTTTAAAAGAGTGTATTTTCCTATGAATGAAGCAGCTACAGACAAACCTTCAAATGAGTCAATAATCACTTTTGAACAGAAAAGATTTTTTTTCTCTTTTAATCTATGTGAATACAATACTAAATCCTAAAAGATATGTCGCATATAATCAACAAAAATATGTGATGTTTTCTAGATTTGGGAAGCAAACTAAACAGAATATCGCCTAATGAGAATGTGAAAACACAACAAACATGGATGGAAAAGATAAAGATAGGAAAAGGATAATAGACTAAACACAAGTATAAATTACAAACTTACAGAGATCTTAACAACCAGAGAAAAGTAAAAAGCTACACTATATAAAGCACAGGTTACAGTGAGAATGAAAAATTTATTGACAAAATTGACAATATGGAACTACATGTAGTACAGAACACTTTACAAAGGAAAAACTGACATCATAGGATTTGAGGGATCCGTCAAAATCAAAGAATTGATTCATAGAAGAGTTGAGGCTCTAAGAAAGTTTTCAGGGAACCACTTAGCAGCTTACTATCCTATACAACATTAAAATAGCACAATAGTAACTCTCTGTGGTCTTTGAAAAAGAGACAACAAAGTATAAAAAGAATAGTACTTTCATCGTTCTAAATTTTTCTACAACTAATTATATATTTATATATTACTTGGAGAATTCTCCTGCCATTTTTCTTGGGACTTTTCCCCCCTGCTAACAACTTCAAAACTGGGGAGTAACAAAAAAAAATCAGTCAAATCTTCTTCTTTAATAGCTTTCAAAAAGATTTTACAGCAAGTCAGAATTTGAAGAACATTTATTATTTTTTAACTTATGGCAACAAACGATACACATCTTTCTTAACACTTATAGTTACATAGGTTATCAGTTCATAGTATCTCATATTCAATTATGATCAAAATTTAATAATGATAACTTTCTCAAAACACAGGTATTGTATTTGATGCTTATAAGTATCTTATCTTTATCCCTAAAACTCTGAATCAAATTTTGGGGGGGAGGTAAGAGAGGGCCTCACTTATGCGATTCAGGCTGTTTGAACTTCCCATGGAGTCTGGGCTAGTCTTGAAATTGTGGCAATCCCGGCCTCAGCTTCCTAGCCTTGAGTAAAACGTTAATAACACACTTTACATACAGAAATACAATCAAATTGAGCTGGGGATATAGCTCAGTAGCACAGCACCTGCCTAGCAAGTGCAAGGTCCGGAGTTCGACTGCTAGTAGCCAAAAAAAAAAATCACACTGTAGTAACTAACAATTGAGGATTAAAAGTTGATCTAATATGGTAACTCTTGGATGCACTATTAGCCCATTCAATAGCATGAAAATATGAAACATACTCTTTTGTCGTGATAGTTCTAAAGAAACATTTAGTTGTTGCTGAAATGTCTGTGATTTTTATACCTTTATATTTTTTCATTTGTTTTCTTTTGGGAACTAAGAGAGTTAATTTAAATGCTACTTATATTTAAAAATACATTACAAAAATAAAATGAGCACAACTTTAATTTCAACATGTGGTGAAGATTTAATATTAACTATCACTTTGATTCCTCTAACTCATTAGAGAACCACTAAAATTTTAACTAGGAATCACTATATATTACTTATTCTAGATTTGTGATCTAGACTTCATATTTTTGTGCAAATCAAAGAAAATTGTGAATTTGGATTAAATAACAAATTTAAAATTAACTGGCATTTAGCTTTACTCAGAACTGTATAAGTTTATTATTTAAAGATTGAAAAATATATAAGATGTTTTACATACCTGTCACAGAATCAGATCTGGAATGGTCTTCACTATCTGAATCTTCCAGCAAATCATCACTTAAATTAAAAAGCAAAAACCATTTGAACTTTAAAAAAAAAAAGTATGTATCACATGAAAAAGCAAAGAAAAGCATAATGGTTTTTGTTTTACCCAGAAACAAGGTCATGCTATGTAGTTCAGACTAGCCTAGAGCTCACTATGTAGCCCAGGCCAGCCTCTTACTTGCAGTAATCCTCCTGACTCAGTCTCTTGAGTACAAGCACCACCACACAACATAAGCAATGTGTTTAACACTGCATGATACACATCTAAAACATACACTTACTAAACTACTTAAGTCAGATATACATAGTTCAATATCATAACTTTTAAGTAAGACCAAGAGAGTCATTTTAAATTATTAAGTAAATGTCTACTTCGAAGAGAGTATAGAAACCTCCAAGAACGCATAATAATATTGTAGGGATTTAAAGACTGTTAAGTGGCTGAGGATAATTTAGGTAAGTAAAAAGATAATTTAGTTAAGTAAAAGGATAAAAGAGAACAACAGTTAATAAAACCAAGCATGACCTAGCAGTTGTAAAATATTAAGAAATACTCTATTACTGAATTCAGAATACTCTAAAACCAATTAAATTTGTATGACACATGTGTACAAACACAACAATGTGCATTTTTATTTTGTAATTTTGTTTTGCAAGGAATGTTTAAAACTTTTTGATATGAAGAAAAGGTATTAAAATTCAAAAAGTAGCAGACAATAAGAAAATATTGCCCCTCCTTCGTTCTTCACTCAGCGGAGGACAAAAAGTGTCAGTCCCCCTTTTATATCCACCTTTATCCTGTCTTCACTATTAACTGACAAAAGGTATAATTACCAATATTAGGTTCTGTCTGTACTCAATCAGTACTTCTTTACCATCTTCTAAAATTCTGAAACTACCATTAAAAAAGATTTATTTTGCAGAAAGGAAAGGCAATTTCTCCTTCTTGACTATATTAATGGAAATCTGCAATGCATAGGTTTTTATGCTATTTTATACAGAGAATGGTAATCCCTATTTAAAACAGTTAAGGAGCTGGGTACAGTGCACAAGCCTGTAATCCCAGCTACTTGGGGGGATGAGGTTCCAGGCCATCTGAGCAACTTGCTGAGAATCTGTCTAACAATACAAATTTAAAAGGGCTGGGAATACAAGCTCAGTTGGAAGACCCTGAAGGAGGGGAGGGAAGAGGTAGAGAAGGAGATATAACCAACTATTGCTCAGCTGTACAAAGACAAATAGTAAAATATGATAGTACTACCTTTAAAAGAATTTAAGTTTGCTGACATTACAAAGAAAATTGTCACCTTAAATTAGTATAAAAATTTTTCTAAAATACCTATGGGTCCAGTATGGTGGCATGTACCTGTAACCCAAGCACTCTGGGAGGCTGAAGCAAGAGAATGAAAGTTTGAGCCCAGTATGGCAAACTTAAGTATCTTGGCAAGACTATGTCTCAAAATTAAAGAAAAAAGGACTGTGGATATAACTCAGCATGAAGGTTCTGGGGTTCAATCCCCAGTACTGCAAAAGAGTAAATAAATAAATATTTTTAATTACAAAAATTCTAAAACTCTTACATAATGAAATCATATTGGGGAAAATATAGAACTCCACATTTAAAGGATAAATTTTAGATACCAAACTTACTTCTTGATGTTCAATGTCAGACTGAACTATAGAGCAAGACCCTGTCTCAAAAAGATTGAAAATAAAAAACACATATACATAAAATAACCCCTTGATAATACTACTTTTTAAAAATCACATGGGTTAAAAAGAAAAAGCCAGATACACATAAATGTTAACACAACTTCACAGTATGATTGTGAGTACTCTATTTGCTTCACTATCCACCCCTACATATTCCAAGTTTTATACAATGAACACACATTAGTTCTATAACAGCCACCAAATTAATAAGCTTTTTGCCTGATATAAAACTTTGTAACAAAGTAACACACATGTGAGACAGGTAAGGAACTATGGGTAAGATAAAAACTTTAAGGTCTTGAAATATCATCATTCAGTGATATTATCTAACCAACATGAGGCCCTGGATTCAAGCTCCAAAGCTCCATAAATAAAATAAATAAACAAATAAAATTACCATTATTGTTCTTGAAAATTAAACTAGCCTCATTAGGGATACCTTGGTTAATACTAAGACTACTATAAACATCTTCAAAGTCGAATTCAGAAATTTTTTACCAATTCAACAAGATACACAAGCAACAAATGAAATCTTTAGAAAACAACATTTATTTATTTAAATTAAATGTGTTCTCAACTTTTCCCTACCTGAATTTTTTTTTAAGCATAGCCTCCCTAGGTAGTCCAGGCTGGCCTTTGAACTCACTATGTAGCCCTGTCTGGCCTTGAACCCACAATGATCCTCCTGCCTCAACCTCCTGAATGTTGAGATTACAGATGTGTGCCACCTCACCTGGCCCCGGCCTAAATTTAAAACAAAGACAAGTATCTTCTTAGAAAAAAGATCAAAAATAGTTCTTAAGCAAACTATACTTCTAATTACTTTAAATTTCTCAAGCTCACTTTCAATACATCTGCTATCACACCATCTTTCTTTACAGACTGCCTGACAATTTCTTGGGGAGAAAATAGTCCTATCCTATATTTATAAAAGTAGAGGATTAAACATTTGGCTGGACATGGGAACACACACCACATGGTAATCACAACACTTAGAAGACTGAGGCAGGAGGACTGCTGGCAATTTGAGGCCAGGCTGGACTAGAAAGCAAGATCTATTTCCAGAAAAATAAAACAAGGGAGCCAGAGGGATAGCTCAGTGGCACTGCACCTGCCTGTTATGTGCAAGGTCCTGAGTTCAATTATATGTCCAAAAAAATAGAAAAAGAAAAAAGAAAACAAAACATTTTACAAAGAGAAAGTATAGGTGTGTGCATATCACTAGAAACATACTTCTTTCAATATTTAATCTACCAACTGCAAAATCTCAAGTTAAAGTTCTAATTAAGAACTTTTTAAAAATACATGCCAATTTCATTATTTTGTTAACTTTTCACTAACTTCTAAGAAAATCACAGAAATCAATCATGCTTAGTTTCCAGCCTATTAGCAAACATGCTCAAAAACTCAAACAATGAGCAAATTGCTTTCTAATCAAGCTTTCACAGGGATTTACGGTAACTGAGAATAACCATAACTCTTTAATTCAGCAGACTGCAGAGCTAAGGCTTTACTTGCCACTAATCTCTACTATATGCTATTAGTAATAGGAACCAGACAACGGTAACCTTCCCAAAATCTATGTTACGAATTTTCTATTTGTCTTATAGTGAAATATTTCCGTTAATAAAATTTTACATTACTTCTTAATGAAAGTAATGCCACCAAGTGGGTTTGTCAAGTAAAATGATAAATCACTAACTGTAATGTAACACGGACCACACACTGGTAATGTCAGAAGGCCCTGTAAGTGAAGTGGGTAACATCCTCAGGCCAGTAAATGCATTTCATTCCACACTTCTACCTGTGGAGTCTGTTTCTGGGTTGTTTTTTTTTTTTTTTTTTTTTTTTTTTTTTTTTTTTTTTTTGGTACTGGGGATTGAACTCATGACCTTGCACTTGCCAGGCCACTTGCTTATGCCACTGAGCTAAATCCCCAGTCCTATTTATGGAGTCTTAATAGTAATAGGTTCAATTGTTTATCACAAACTGAGTAGCCTGTAAAATTCTTTGTTGTGCCCACTTGGGAATAATACAAAGGTTGCTGTGTGATCCTCATCCAGTTCAAAGTCACAACTGCTTTTATGCAAGAATTAGGTGGAGTTTTACTTTAACTCCTGCCCCCACGTACATCAGATGCAGCCACAAAACAACACACAAGGGTCAGGGGTTTAGCTCAGTGGCACATGTGCTGGCCTGGCAAGGGTATGGTCCTGAATTCAATCCCAGGTACAAAAACAAAACAAACAAACAAACAAAAAAAACCCACACATACACAAAAATCAAAGAAGTTAAGCTAAACAATCAAGAACCGCAATTATACCAAACTTTTTCTACAGCAATAATTTGATGCCTCAAATCACTGAAAATAGTAAATGTGCTATTCTCAATAATTACATTTTCTTGCCTCATCTCCAAGGTCATTTCACTATTCATTACTGAAATTCATTTAATTTGAGATGCTAATGAAAAACAGGGAGGCAGGGAATTTAGCTCAGTGGCATAAGCACCTGCCTGGCAAGCACGAGGTCATGAGTTAGATCCCCAGTACCAAAAAAAAAAGAAAAAAAGGGAAACTAACAATTCAGCTCAGCTCTCTTTGAAAAGATTTATTATAAGGTGAATCCTAGTAGAAAATAAAATCGCCTCCTCCCTTCCTCGCTCTCTCCTTTTGTGCTGGGAATTAAATCCTGGATCTCAAGCACTCTTACGCTAAGAGACAAACCCAAACCTTAGACTTTATTTTCTGTGGCAATTAAATCCAGTTAAAATAAATTGAGGTTAAAAAAATAGTATACTTTATAAACCATGGCAAGTCTGAATAAAAATTTCTGTGAGAATCATACAGCTTTTGGATTTCTAACAAAAATTTATTTCTAATCTCTTAAATTGATAAAATTTTTTCTGCCTCTTTAATAATGAGTAAAATTAGAAAAAATTCTATAAATACTACTAAACACAAATTCAACATACCTATCTCCTTCCAATTTTGGTATATCTGAGCAACTAGAGGAGTCCTCCAGCCATGCTAAAGTTGGTCTCCTTGAGTCAACTCCTGAGCTTGGTTCTCCTGATAGAATAAGCTGTTGTACAATTGCTGGATCATAGGCATTAATTTCAAACTTTAAGTGCACCTAAACAAATAAAAAATTCTAAGTTTATAACTCACTCTTTATCAGTTACTACTCGGTTCCTTCAAAATTAAAACATACCTTCATAAGTTTGGAAACATCCCATATGCAGATCTTTCCTCGTTTAGTTGCAGCAGCTAGAAAATGAGGGCAGCTCCCCGACCCAAAACAGGATATTCTGTCAGTTCCATCTGTACAAGGAAACTGTGCAGGACTTGTTGCAAGTGTGACTGACAATGGCACATTCTGTGTGTGCTCACCTTTCACAAATGGGCAGTTTGGGGAATGTCTTTCATGTTCGGACCTTAACACAGGATGAGGAAAGGAAAAGGCAAACAATAAAGTAGTTAAATTGCATATGAAACTACTAAAGAATGCACGGATCATCACTCTTTTTGTAAACAAAGTATTCTACTATGAAAAAGAATTAATCTGGAGCCAGGGATACAGCACAGTGATATAAGCACCTGCCTGACAAGCACAAGGTCTTGAAATTCAATTCTCAGTACAAAAAAAAAAAAAAAAAATTAAGCTTTTGGCAACAGCGCACATGGAAAGGTAAGATCCAGCCATGCCAAGGACATCCGTTCTCCTTGTCTATAAGCGTGTTTTGAGCACTTTCTCCCTCTTCCAAGTCCTCCAATAAAATGACTTGGACCTCCTCAAAAAAATTAATCTCACCAAATAATTCTATTTTTATTAGGATCACTAATACATTCAACCCTAAAGTCACATATTAAATAACAATATTCAACAATAATAGTTGTTACTTTCATTACAAATAAAGTCATTCACAGATGAAACTAAGAAACCAATACTATAATAAAATTCTGTTAACATACTGATACTTCACATATTATCTACAGTAGAACCCAATCAGGAAAGCAACTTATAAGTAAAAACCCTAAAAGATTAATTTCATGAAATATACATTACATTCTGTCCTCCAAATCCAAGAGACCCAAATCTGTAGATTTAGCCAACTATGGACAAAAAAATAAATGGAGGGAACAAACTGCATCTGTATTGAAAATGCAGAGCATTTTTCTTGTCATTATTCCCTAAAACATGCAAGAACTACTTACATAACATTTTACATTCTACTTAGGCAGAACGAGTAATCTAAGGATGACTGAAATTACACAAGAGGGTATCTATAGGTTACATACAAATACCACATATTTTTACAGTAAAAACAAGCATCCTCAAATTTTGGTGTCCACAGAGGGTGCCCTAATCATTATCTCACAGGTAAAAAAGTACACCTGTATTTTCAAATAGATGCTCATTGAGCATAAAGAAATACTAAACTGGGGGCTGGGGATTTAGCTCAGCGGCATAAGCACCTGCCTTGCAAGCAGGCGGTCGTGAGTTCGATCTCCGGTACTGATTTAAAAAAAAGCATCTATAAGAAATACTAACCTGGTTTACTAGAAAACAAAAACATAAGAAAAATAAAATGTTAGGAACTCAGGTCAAGACTCGCATGATAGCTATAAATATTTTCTCAGATATTAAAAGGTATCAACCTTAACAATTATCTGCCCAACTTTCTGTCTTATCTTTTCTTTGGCTTTTGTCTTTTTTTAACTTTCTAAGCTTTTCCCACGTACAGAATTTAGAATGCTGTGAGCCTGAGAGATACTATATGCTGACTGATGTGAGACACTGTAGACCGGGTCACTTTGTTCTCTTAGGACAAAAGCAAAACTAAAGACAACAAAACTATACATCAAAGGCAAGACAGAATATCAAGACCACAAAAGTATGATGTACAAGCATATTTATAGAACTTAAGTCTCTTACGCCCCAAAAGATCAAAACTTACCAAGGTTCATCAGTAGGTTCCCAACAAACGAGACATACACTACAAGTAAAACACATGGCTCTATCATCTCCAGAAGAAGCAGGCTGCAAATGGAGGGGAGAGAACTGGTTAATCATTAGCTTTTAGTAAAGGATCTTTGCAAAGATCATAATTTTAAGGAAAAACAGATACTGACAAAAAGAAAATTAGCCTGTATTTTTATGTACTAATGTTTATAAATTGTTTTATTTAAAAATAAGTTCATCAGAAAATGACCAGAACTCAATATAGAGGCATATATGTATTCAATTTTTGATCTGTAACCTTCTAGTTGCACTATTAAAGTATATGAAATACAGTAAAGTATATACTGTAAGTATATACTTTTAGTAAAGGAAAACAGTCTAACAAGTTTATTATTAAAAACTGAATCCGCACTATGGAGGCTGAGGCAGAAGGATCACCATGAGTTCAAGGCTGGCCTGAACTACATAGTGAGACCCTGTCTCAAAAACAAAACAAAGAAACCCCACTGAATCTGATACAGAAACATTAAAAGAAAAAAACAAGAGAAAAACAAACCAGGCATGGTGGCAAACACATGTAATCCCAGCACTTGAAAGGCTGAGATAGGATCACCAATGGGTTTGAGGTCAGCCCGGACTACATAGTGAGACCTTGTAAAACAGAAAGAACGAAAGAACGAAAGAACGAAAGAACGAAAGAACGAAAGAACGAAAGAACGAAAGAACGAAAGAACGGAAAGGAAAGGAAAGGAAAGGAAAGGAAAGGAAAGGAAAGGAAAGGAAAGGAAAGGAAAGGAAAGGAAAGAAAAGAGAGGGGAGGGGAAGGGAGGGGAGGGGAGGGGAGCAGAGCAGAGCAAAAGCAAAAGCAAAAGCAAACCAGTCTACCTAATTCATATAACATTCTTTAAAATATATATGGGGCAAAATGTTATAAATATGGGCTGGGAATTTAGCTCAGTGGCTTAAGCACCTGCCTGGCAAGTGCAAGGTTGTAAGTTTGATCCCTGGTACTAAAAAAATGGAAAAAAAAAATCGTAAATATGTTTTCACTTCTGGTTTTAAGCCATAAATACCTTAAAATTATGTATTTTATAATATTTAGTGCCACAAATAGTTTTATATTTTAAAAAATAAACTTCTGCATAATTGAGAATTTATACACATCAATAATTTTTAAATATGTAAATGCATCACACACATTTTAGATGTATACATAAAATGTTTAATAAATTTGCAACTATATAGTGAGCACTGAAAAATACTATGTTTTGCTATCACAAAGCCTGTTTATTTTTTGGATTGCTTTTGTGGTGCTAGTGACCAAACCCAAGGCCTTACACTTACCAGGTAAATCTTTTACCACTAAGACACAACCTCAGCCCCAGTTCTGCTATTAAAACATGAACTGAAATACATCTGAAAAACAATCACTGTTCACACTTGCCCTCTAGCTCAGGGAAGCTTCCATTATACCCCATTCTCACAGTATTTCACCAACCTAATCCTTACACTATATTCCTCCTTTCCTACATAAAACTTCAACCACTTTTCTTAATTAACACTTTGTCAACACATAAAACTGTACATACCCCTGCAACACCTACATCTACTCCACTGTAACTTTCTAATCAGCTATTTAGGTTATATGAGTAATTTGCATCTCAACAAAAAGTACAACTTCAGGAACAACCACAAAACTGCTTTATTGTATTACCCTAAGCATCTACTACTATGTTACAAATGCAGGAATAAAAAACTGAAAATACTTAGTAAAAAATAACATTTGTCCAAAATCACATCTAAAAAAAAAAGCTAAACATACTAAATAATTCAGTTATTACTTGTAACATGTTTTCCCTCTTATACAAGATACATGCAAAAGTATCATAATCAAAAGTATAGGAAAAAACAAAGCACACATACACATATAAAGGAGCACATAGCTACAGTGCATAAAACAAAATTTTTAAAAAGTATTAAATGTTGATTTTAGGATTTCTGAAGTATTTGTTTTTGTTGTTGTTTTGTTACCTGATGATAAAATCCAGCTTGAGCCATGGGATCTGGTTGTGCCCATCTGTAGCCTACATGAGGCCATGAGGTAAATGTCTCCCGTCTATTAGCTTCACTATACATCAATGATCTAAAAGTAAACACACTTTATGTAATTGAACTGAGGTTAAAAAAAAAAAAAACAATGAAACTCCTATTTAACAGTGCACCAAAAAAACCTTTTTACTGGGTTATAAGAAAAACTTCAGGAAAGGTCTAATGACAATTTAAATTGTTATTTTAAACTAAAAATGATCACTTTATCAGTTATATCCTTTAAACTGGGTGAGAAAAAAAAATCTGAATGCTAGAGTGGCTACAGCTAACAAATAATTCCTGGGATAGATCAAATTAAGCAGTACTGCATAACTACCAAACAGAGAACAAGAAATCTGGAAATGGAGAGACAGAACAAGAAGTCTAGAAATGAAGACAGTACTATGCTTCATTACATGTCAAGTTTTCCTTAATTGAACAAAACTACAAACAACAGTAATTTTTTTCCTAACCTCAAGTTAATAAGGATCTTCAAGTGATGTTTCTAATTAATATAGTTTTTGTGTGTTTTCTAAGTAGAAAGCAGTATCTCGTGCCTTTTCCAGAAAAATCCTTTTCCAGGACAGCTATACTATGCAGAGACTTATCAAAAAATGAAACTTCCATTTGTATTCATAGAAAAATACACTAGCTCACTTAAACTGTAACTAGTAGAGCCAAGTAATCTTTTAAAGGATAAGGAAATTTAGGAAAAGTTCAAAACGTTTCAAATAAGAAAAGACTAGTAAGCAAAGCTTATTCTTCCTATCACAAAATAGTAACTTAATACAAAGGAGAAAGAATGAGAAAGTGCAAAGGTCATCACAAAGAGACCAGAAAATAATTCTTAAAATCTTCTCTTAAATTACCAAGCATTAGCATGCTAGGCTAGCATGTACAAGGCCCTGGGTTCAATCCTTATCATCCAAAAATAAAAATCTTTTGGGATTAGAAAGGCATTTTCATTCACAGATTATGTATGTCTTTTGGACCAGTCTTAAGACAAAAAAAAAAAAGTCTCACTTAGTTATATGTATCACCACTAGACCCTAACTTAAACCTTCGAAGGACCCAAGTTCATCAGCCCTCATAGACTTCTCATATTTACCTGAACAAACAGCTGAGCATGGTGACTTATGCCTGTAAACTCAGCACTTGGAAGGCTAAGGCAGGAGAATCATCAGGAGTTAGAGGCATGTCTGGGGTACTTAGTTCAAGGCCAGCCTGAACTACAGAGACAGATTCGGTCTCAACAAACAAACAAACAATACACACTACACCAGAATCATGTTTTGGGACATTTTAACATGGTCAGAAACAATAAAAATTCCATCTAATTACTGCATTGCCTAAAACAGAACATTTATCATAGCTTCCTCTGATTTTTTTTTATTTATTTTATTTATTTAGAAAACATGCAATCATTTGAAAAAAGAAAAGCTCTGCAAAGCTGACAATTTATGATTTCAGGACAGGCATTGCTCTCAGACAAGAATCTCTTGTTCTAATCACATATTTTCTGTTTATCCCCTCTAAACACATTTCAAAGTTATCTGAACAACAGCCATTGCACTGACCATCTGATATTCTGATTAAAAATTAGGTTCTCTGTCTTATGATTAAACCAGACATAGTAATATTACTCTAGAATATAAAAGGTCTTCTCAAAAGTTATTTATGTAACAAAATAATTTCATCAATATAAATAAAGCTGACAGAACAAAGTCATCTATGCTAAAAGACAAGAAACACTTCAAAATACATGAGTCACACCTAGCATAGAAATAAAGAAGGAACTCATTCAGTAGTGTCTTCACTAATTATAACACTGTTTGTCTATACATATACTTCAGAAAAACATATACTTCAGGAAAATTGTAAATGGAATTTACAACTCATACCAGTGAAAATGTAAAATGTTACATGGGAAGGAACACATCAAAACTATTAAGTTTTACATTTCAGGATACCATTTCTAAGCTTTAGTGCTTTGTTTTGTTTTGGTGAAAGGGTATCACTACGTAGTTCAGGCTGGCCTTGAGTTTACTATACAGCTCCAGCTGGCCTCAAACTTTATAACCACTCTCGCCTCATGCGCTCAGGATTGGATTACAGACATATGCCACCACCTCCAGCCAGTTTTAGTGCTTTTTAATGTCTAATTAGAACCTGAATGTCACCAGGTACATCATTTTTAAATTTTTTTTAAAAACGTTTATTAACTTTTAAGTAGTTTCACACAAAACAGTAACTTAATGTCCTGTAAAATGATGATTTTTTTTTTTTTTCTTTTGAGACAGTGCTTCGCTATGTAGGTTGGGTTGACCTCAAACTCACTATGTAGCAGAGGCTGGCCCCAGACTCTCAGCAATCCTTCTGTCTCAGCCTCTTAAGTGCTGGGACTCCCATCATCCACCCAACTGAACTATTGATTTTTATGACTCCAATAGCACAAAACATAAAAATCAATTTAAAATTCCTCAACTGGCTTTTTAATTTGCATTATTTCTATCAGAAAACAGTAAGTAAAGTTTTCCTTCTATTCAAATTCGAATATAGGGTGTAAATCTGTCAGAATTTATCTCACCAGGTCACACAATTTCATCAATGGCAAAATAATTCTTACATATTGAATAATTATAATCTTTAAGTTTACTCAATTTTTTATTAAGCAAGAATTTTCAAAATAATTTTACTGCTTTAAACACAACTAAAATATATATTTTAATAAAACAATTCACTTAGTATTTCCAGTATTTAGAGAAACAAGAATCTAGTTTTCAAATATTCTGGAGTATTTAAAATCATATCAGAGTTTATGTTAATTTTTAATTAAAAACTAGTAACTCAATCTCACTATCCCTCTTATTAAGCAAAGCTTCCTACCTGTCTACAGAACGGCCTGGCCCCACTCCAAGTTCTGGACGTGCACTAGGTAAGAGGTAAGACAATCTGTCCATCACTGAGGATGCCACAGGTAAGGCAGCAACGTTTTGATTTATTTTCTTGAGTTCATTTACAATGGCACTGGCAATGGACTTCAACACATGATGAGGAAGATGAAATGTAACCGTGGCCCACTGAAAGAAAACAAGAATATAAGAAAAAACTACGCTCAAAATTTTAAACAAAATCTTAAGTTCACTTTATCACATAAAGAACTATTTATCAGTCTTGAATCAGTTCACTCAACTACAATAGAAACTTGCCAGTATGTAAAAGAAAAATCCTTTCATTCAAGAGCCAAGATAGGAAGCAAACTAAATACCCTGTTAATGGATAAATGGATAAAGAAAATGCAATATATATCTATACATAGAATGAAACATCATACTTTTTTTTTTGTGACAAGATCCCGCTATGCAGTTCAGGCTGGTCTTGAACTCATCAGGATCCTCCTGCCTCAGCCTCCAAGTGCTAGAATTACAGGCAAATACCACCACAACTGGCCTTGAATAGATATTTTTAAAAGCACTAATCCAGAAAGAAAAAAAGACTGGAAAAATCCTCAAGTATATTAAAATTATGTTTTAAAAAACTGATACCATTTTTATGCTTGTTTATCATGGTAGTTTTGATATACCCTATACTTTGTCTATCTTTAAAAAGAAAATCCTATTATTTGTAACAGCACAGATAAGCTTAAAAGACATTACACACCGTGCAAAGAACAAGGCAGAGATCAACATACACACGCACAAAAAAAAAAAAAGGAACAAAGCAGAGGAAGGCAAATTTTGCAGTATTTCACTAATACATGAACTCTAAAACAATTTAACTCTTAGAAGTAGAAAAGAGAATGGCAGTTATCAAACCTGAAGTGATATCTGCAAATACTGATCAAAAGGTACAAAGTCGGGCCAGGGATTTAGCTCAGCCCACATAAGTGCCTGCCTTACAAGCATGCAGTCGTGAGTTCGATCCCCGGTACCCCCAAAAAAAAAGCAGGGGGCACAAAGTTAAGTAGGATTAACTTTTGGTACTCCTACTTTACAGACTGGTTACTACAGATAATAACAATATACTGCACATTTTAAAATAGCTAAAAGTCTAGATTTTAAACATCACCATGTCTGAAAAAAAAATATATAAACAACGTAGTTCTACACCCCCCTTTTCAGGATAGTTAGTAGAGGTTTTATTTTTAAAATGTTTAAGAAATTTTAAAGAGTAGGGCTGGAGATTTAGCTCAGTGGCACAAGCGCCTGCCTGGTAGGTATGAGGATTTGAGTTCAACCCCAGTTCAAAAAAAAAGAAAGAAATTTTAAAATTAAAAATTTTCGTTGCAGACCAGGGATATAGCTCAGCAGCATAAGCACTTGCCTGACTTGTGCAAGGTTCTAAGGTCAACTCTCACTACCAACAAAAAAAAATTTACTGCCAAATAATCATAATGTGTTTATGGGACATAAATATACAATATTTGGTGTATGTATTATGGAAAAATTAAATTACTTGCAACAATTTTACTACTTATTTGTGTGGTGAGAGTGAATTAAAAGGCAGCCTGAAATAGTAAGAACCTGTTTCCAAAAAAATAAAAGTAACATTTCTCCAAAAACAAGACTGAGTTTTATATTAATTTTTGCTCCAGAAGAGTCAAAAGTAAGATTTTTTTTTTAATGTCCAACAATCTACATTTATTCAAATATATTCATGTCATTTTCCTCTGGAACACCATCTTACCTCTCTAGGCCCTAAACTCTGGTCTGTTTCCTGCAGACTCACTGGCCCTAGTCTCTCAAGTCTACCAATAGAGTACGTCTGTCTTGTAACCAGGTTGTTGTACTACACTGACAGGACAGGTGGGTGGGTACCCTGGCAACACAGCTGATTTTATCCCCGGAATTTTTTTACATAAGTCATAACCTCCTACAGGCAAGAATTTATGAAATCAACAGTGAACTGAAGACTTGTAAGACAGGAAAAGCAATAAAAATGATGATGATGATTAAGACTGATGGCTCAGCTGGGCATGGTGGCACATGTCTATAATCTCAGCAATTGGGAGGCTAAGGTAGAAGGATTGCTGTGAGTTCGAGGCCAGCCTGGGCTACAAAGTGAGTTGAAGGCCAGCCTGAACTACAAAGTGAAATCAGGTCTCAAGTCAAAAAACAAAAACAAAGAATGATGGCCCAAATTGGGTGCAGTGACACACACCTGTAAACCTAGCACTTGGGAGGCTGAGGCAGGATGCCTGTTGCAAATTCAAGACCAGCCTGCACTATGAAGTGAGTTCAAGGCCAGCCTGAACTACATAACAAGACCCTGTCTCAAAAAGATAAAAGACAAAAAAGAAAGGAAGAAAGAAAGAAAGACAAGACAAGACAAGGACCCACACAAAAGGAACAAAAAAAGTACGAGTACCAAAATTCAGAAAACATTTATTTCACAAGAGTACATTAAGTTCAACCACTGTAACACATGACATGTTAAATTACGAAGATTCATATTTATATGTTGTACCTCTACACCAATTGGTCATTTGAAAGCAGTTAAGATCATCTGTTTACAAGGTGTTTACTTCTCAATCAAGGGTGCACAATTGGGTATTAACATAATTATAATTTACATTATTATCTAAGTATCAATGTATTTTTATATTTAGTTCTATTTTAATATAACCCTAGCCCTAATGTGTTGTAACAGACATACTAAATGCACCTCTCTGGCTGACAATTCTAACTGGGGCTTATTTTGGGGGCAAAGCTTAGATTATGAGCATCCTGATAAACAATGGTAGGTCTAATTTTCCGGTTAGTTCTTATTTTCAAGGAAACATGATAAATGGCAACACATCTCACATATCCTATCATAATTAATTATCACTAAAGCAACTGTCCTTTCTTATATTCATCTTGCATAAACATAACATCAAGCACAAAGTAGGTTCTCAAATATCTATATTCATAAAAATATATTTGAACAATTATCATTGCTTGGATATATGAAGATTTAGTTCAGGGCAACACACTTAGAAGCTTTCTTTCCCCTAATAAATGTACTCCCTAAAAAACAACTAAAAAAAATTTTTTTAAAGCATCACTTTGTTTACCCCAATATTTTCTTGCTCTTAAAAAAACACAAATTTTACCCAGGCATTGTAGCTCAAGCTGGTAATCCCAGCGCTCAGGAGGCTGAGGCAGGAGGATCATTGCAAGTTTAAGACCAGCGTGGGCTACAAATTGAGCTCAAGACCAGCCTGAACTGCATAAAGAGACCCTGTCTCAAAAAAAATAAATAAATAAATAAAAAGAAAAGAAAAGAAATTTAGTTCAGTGCAGCAGATGCATGTTTTTGACTATAGTCACACAGACCCGGATGGCCAACCCTACTTCACCATCAATGCTATCCAAAGAAATGACAACCACAATTATTCAATATAACAAATTACTAAAATTAGTTGAAAAATAAAAGATGGGGCAAATTAGATTATAAAAAAAGCTAAGTACTGTCAGAGATGGTTGTGCACTCCTGTAATACCAGCACTTGGGAGGCTAAGGTAAGGAGGGTCACCATGAGCTCAAGGCCAATGGGGGCTAATAGTAAGTTCAAGGCCAACCTGAACTACATAGTGAGACCTTGTCTTAAAAAAAATAAAAAACGTAAGTATTATTCTCCCAGAGAAATGAATCTGTAAAATAATTTCATCTTTATATTGTCCCCAGATCACATCTCAATAATTTCTGTCTAGTATGTGGCCTAGTGAATTGTATTTATGTATATAACTAAAAAAAACTTCTGGCCTGAAATGACTTAAATTGCAGAGGGAGGAAAAAAAAAGACAGAATGAAAACTTCTTACCTAGATTCTGGCTCTCAAGTGTTCAAAGATATAAAGACTTAACTGTAAAGGGAGACTGACTTCTTTTGAAAGAATCTCAGTAACATTCCAACTATATAATGTTAATCATCCTTTGTCCAAACTTTCCCCAAAAGGACTTGGGGATATTCACTGTAAGCGACTGCAACAGGAACACTCTTTCAGGCATTACAAGAAAGTGGCACTAAAGAAGACTGCCGACAGTTCAAGGCCAGCATGGGCTACATAGCAAGACCCAGACTCAAAATTAAACATGTGTGATGGTGTACACCAGTAATCTCAGCACTTGGGGAAGCAGATATAGAAGGACTGTTAAAGTTCAAGGCAAACCTATACTACATAGTGAGCTCAAGGCCTTGCTCAACTACATGAGACCTTGAGACTCAAAAACAGAAAACATAAAGCAGCCATGATGGTGCACGCCTATAATCCCAGCACTTAGGAGGCTGAGGCAGAGGATCATTGCAAGTTCCAGACCAGCCTGGGCTACAAAGTGAAAGTCAAGCCTAAACTGAACTGTATAGTAAGACCCTGTCTCAAAAAGGGGGGAAAAAAAATTTTTTTTTTAAAAATCAATGGAAACATTAAGAAGAATGAGTATCATCTATTCAGACTGATCTGAAAAAAATCCAAGCTGGGGATTTAGCTCAACAGCACAAGCACCTGCCTGGCAAGTGTGAAGTCATGAGTTCAATACCTGGTACCAGAAGAAGAAAAAAAAAGACAAGAAGGGAAAAAAAAAAAAAAAAAAAAAACCAAGATACAGTGGGGGAAAAAAATCTAAGTATATTGTGATATTTTAGTGTAAATACAACTATGCTGCAAAAATATATTGATAAAAAGTTACTTTTTAGGAAAATGACTTTTCCTGATTACCTTATATTCCTCAGTATGGAAGCCTTTTACGTATTACATTGCATTGTATGACTACACCATCACTGACATACATAATTCGAAAGAACAGTATTTTTTGGGTTTGTTTTTTTGTTTTGTTTTGTTTTGTTTTTGTGCCTAGGATTGAACTCACAACCTTGCACCTGCCAGGCAGGCACTAAAGCCACTGTGCTAAATCCTGGCTGGAAAAAAACAATATTAAAATAAACTAATGAAATATAGCCAAAGATTTAATCCAAAAAACTGTTTCCCACAGACTTCCCATCCACACCCTCCCCCAAAACAATTTCAAGGCAGTCATGGTGGCCTACACCTATAATCCCAGCACTACAAAGGCTGAGCAAAAGGAATGCCACAATTTCAAGCCAGCCTGGGCCACATCATCATTTCAAAGCAGGAATGAACTCACACCCAAGCCCTGTCTCAAATGACAAAATGGCCCCATTTCCAAAGATATAATTCATTTTCATTTGAGCTTAAAATCTAAATTGGAAGCCTCTTTCACCAGCTTTTCAACCAACAGAGGGCCATCAGACATTCAAGAGTCACAGAAACTTTAGACACACAATGAGCAAAGTAAACTTCAATACAAAAAGTTTCAGCTTTGAGGTGATTTATGAGTACAGTACATTCTGCTTCTTTAAAGAGAAAACACTCTACAACTAGAACATTTCCAAAGTAAAGGTAGAGTGATTAAGCAAAAGAATGGAGAGTTTGTTTTATTAAAACTTTGAGCAAGGTAAATTTTTAAAAATTTCTTACCTTAGCAACTTTGTGGTTCGCTGCAGTCTCATGAGATGTGTTTTTTAAACCATCTTTGAGCTGTGTGATGAACAAATCATAACCCTCGGTACTAGAAATGTCTACCTTTTCTAAACATGCTGATAAGAGCTGCTGTGCCTAAATTAAAAAGATGATCACAAAATAAAGTTAAAAACAGATCCTCATTTAGGTATTTTAATTTGTGATGATTATGACAGCTACTAAATAAACATACATTTTACTTTTACACAACTCAATCACAATGATGTAAAGGGCTGCTATATAATTAAATGAAATAAAGCAATGTAGTATAGTACTACTCAGTAAAGTTTCAATACACAGGAGTTACAATAAACAAAATTAAAAAAGAAAAACAGGAGACCAAATGTAGTGGTCCACACAGGTAATTCCAACATTCAGGAGGTGACGCAAGAGGATCACCATAAGTTCAAGGGTAGCCTGGGCTATATAGTGAGTTCAAAGCCAGCATGAGCTATATAGCAAAACTTCGTCTTAAAAACAAAACAAAACATCCAAAGAAGAAACACGGAAATAAAAATTTTAAAATACACTGTGCTTAAAATTTACACATGGATCTCTTCAGGTCCTTACAATGGGAAATATACAATGCCAATTTTATTAAGTCATCCTATCAACCCACCAAATGCAAAACAAACATCAAAAACTGAGCATAAGACAGAATTTCTCACTTTATTATGCAACACAGCATTGTAATCTTTTATATCCTACAATATAATTCAAAGCCCAATTACTTTGCAGAATATTTTCAATTATCATTTGATGAATATCACCCACACAAAAAAGAATTTAAGTTGAAATATTTAGACATGTGTACATGAACCAACTCCCCAAGAAGAATGTATTTATTCTGTAACGCAAACATATACTTGTAATATTTTTTAAATTAATGAAAATTTAACACTACAGAAAAATACCTAATGTGAAATTCAAAACTGAGGTTATTAAGAGACATGACACAATGAGGACTACTAACTGTTGACGAATATAATTCTTGACTAATTCTTCTGGGTTTTACATAGTTAAAAAAATAATAGTAAACCACCACTTTTCCTACCTCCTCACCTTGGTTACAGACATGCAACTAAATTCTAACTGGGTGAATACAAAAATGATATGGGATATTATGAAAGACAGAAAGAAAAAAGTAAAAGTGAGACACAGGAGAGAAAAGAGAAAGAGAAAGCCTATGGTTCCCTAGCTTTTGACCAATCTTTCCCTGTGACTAGGAAATTGTGAGATGTGGAACAACTTTAGAACTCACAAGCTCACCTAAATGCTGAAGTCAGCAGTTAGCCCTATCGTTAGCTCCACACTGTTACTGCAAAGACATGAAACTATTTATTAAACCACATACTGAGCCAGACGTGGTGGCTCACGCCTGTAATCCCAGCACTCAGGAGGCTGAGGCAGGAGGATTGTTGTGAGTTCAAGACCAGCCTGAGCTACAAAGTGAGCTCAAAGCCAGCCTGAACTGCATAGCGCGACCCTGTCTCAAACAGACCCCCCAAAAAATCCCACATATTTGAGGATCTCTGATAACAGCTGTTTAACCTGTGCTAATGTACAACTCGCACTTAAAATACCACTTTAACAGCTTCAATTGATTATTCTATTTAAAGCTCTAACTGACAAACCATACAGGTATTCACAAAATATCCCTAATTTCATTTAACATCTAACAGTTTGGAGATAGTATTAAATAATTATTTCGGGCCGGGGACAGTCGTTGAGTTTGATCCCCGGTACCGATAAATAAATAAAGAAAGAAAGAAAGAAAGAAAGAAAGAAAGAAAGAAAGAAAGAAAGAAAGAAAGAAAGAAAGAAAGAAAGAAAGATTGATTTCAACTTACCTCTGTAACTGGCAGTTCAAGCTGAACCACATCATCCTGCTTCGAAACCGGAGTTTGCAGAGCAGTGTCTAACAACAAGATTCCATTAAGGTCTTTCCTACATCCTACTGCATAATCATCCACAAATACAACTTTATCCACAGCAGAAATATACTGACATTTCACCTGTCCACCTGGTTTAGCTGTTAAAAGAACAAAAATTCAACATTTAAGATTTTAAGTCCATTTAAAAATGTTTACATTACAACTAAATATAAAATTCTAGGCTGGTGGGACTGGGGATTTAGCTTAGTGGCATAAGCACCTGCCTGTCAGGCGCAAGGTCATGAGTTCAATCTCCGGTACAAAAAAAAAAAAACTCTAGGCTGGAATAAAATTGCTATAAAGGACAAAAATTGCTTTAGTAAATTTCTATTAGAACAACAACATGTATATAAAGTATCAACGTGAAATTATCAAACTTGAAAACTACATTGCTGTTATAAAAGACAGCATCACTATTTAATCTCAACATAAATGACGATATGGATAACTGCATGTACATTTAAGTGTATAGAATTAACAACCATATTACTAAGTCTTTGTTGGATAGTTGAACAGAACTGTTTGCAGTATTGCTGTCTGAATTCCAATTTTATGTTCCACTTTTGTATCTTGAACAACTATTTATAAAAGGTAAGTATGTAAACATCAACTAGTGATTTCCTACTGTTTATTTCTTCTCTGAATGTATGTATTATTTCTACCCATTTTCTGTTTGTTTAGTCTTTCTTTGAATAAAATTAAAAAAAAAAAAAAAAAAGACAGCATCACTGCTCTTAGAAATAGACCCGTTTTCTCAAGATGGCATAGTGGTAAGCACCAGAGAAAACAGCCTCTCTCAGAATTGCAGTCCAGATGCTGGAATATAGCATCGTGAGGAAGACAAGGAGGGAAGTGGGTCCACTGGACCCAGGAGCAAAGTGCAAACTGAAGCCCACAGGGACAGTGAAGAGAAAAACTTCAACAAAGAAGGCAGGAGCCAGCAGCACCTTTTCCCTGAGACAGGACTCACTCAAGGAGAAGGTGCTGCTCAGAGGCCTCTGCAGGGAAATGCAGCAGTGGAGGTGAACAGCAGACATGGAGGATTGCACTGGCTGGCAGAGAGCGCAGAGGACTTAGTCCAGGGGGAAGGGGGGTGGAGCGAACGCGAATGGCCAGGGGCCATCTTGGAGATGAGCTGGCAGAACTCAGAACTCCTGCTGGTCCCATCCAGCAGCTTCCAGCTGGGCTCAGACCCACAGAAATTGCTCAGGCAGCAGCAAGATTAGTCTGATCTCCAGCAGGCCTGCTGAGATTATGCACTACCATGCCAAAAAGCTTTGCTGGCTTGCTGGGACAGATCACAATTTGGGACTGTCTCCACAGGATGTCTACTAGTGAAACAAGAGAGAACTCTGGAATTAAACTGTTTTTCATCTTTCTACTTCATTGCTTTTATATGAGTATGAACATGGTTCTTAACCTTTTGGTGGTGTGGTTCCATTTCATTCTCCCTTTGATCTCTGCCACCTCTCTTTTCATTCAGTCTTCTGTACCAGTTTCCCAAAGTTGGCATGATCCCCTTTTGTCCTACAACCTTACTTTTAATCTCTTCCTCTTCTCTATTCTCTTTAATCCATGTTAACCCCAAGGGCAAAACTGAAAACATCAAGGACTCATATACTACATATAATTTTCTGTTTTACATTTTGTTATATAATCACAAATCTAGTTCATACGGTTAAAAAGTGGCAAATTAAGGGTTAGTTCAGTTTGTCAGTTTTTCTAGGCTATCTTTGTTGCTACTGGTACCACTGTAGCCAAAACTGGCATAACTGTTCTAAATGTTACTGGTCCTAGTACTACACAACTGAGATTGACTAAGGGCCACAGAAAATACTGGGGCACAGTGTCAAAGAACCAGGGACTGGACTAAACAAAAAACAACTGGTCATCTCCAATGAACTGAAGAGGTAAGATCTTCCAACAGACTGAAAACCCAAAAGCAAGCTACACCTGGTAGATACCTTGGAGAAGTAGTCCTAAAGGTCCTAAATACTACCAATAAAGGAACCCACCATAAGCAACTTACAAGCATCACCCCAGGAATTAAACTAAAAAAAGAGAAAATAAAGTAGGACACTTAAGCAAAATGCCACCTCAGTCATCCAGTTTGCCAAAGGCAAATCCCAATGAGGAATGAAGTGGGACACTCCAAAACCCATCAGGCCTCTCTGAAGTGGTAACAACAAAGCAACTGAATGTGGCTCTGGAAAAAATGAATTAAGCAATAATCTCTCAGATAACTACAGAGATTACCAAAATATACAATATGCTTAGCAACATTAGAGCAGATGCAGACAAAAAAAAAAAAGATAACCTTAACAAAATTATGGAAGATCAACATAGGAAAGAAATGGAATCCATAAAGTAGATTCAAGCAGATATCTAGGAGAATAAAAACTTCGTTGAAAGCCAGGTATGGTGGCCCACTCCTGTAATCCCAGCACTTGGAAGGCTGAGATAGGAGAATCATTGCAAATTTGAGGCCAGCCTGGGCTACAAAATGAGACCAAGGCCAACCTAAACTGCATAGCAAGACACTGTCTCAAAAAGACAAAAACAAAACCAAAAAACAAAAGAAAGCTTCCTCTGAAAGTATTTGAAGCAGATTATAGCAACATGAGGACAGAATCTCAGATATTGAAGACAGGCTTGCAGTTAGCCACTAGGAAAAGAAAGATTTCTCAAAAATAGCAAGGGATCATTAGAAAACAATCCAACAGCTGCTAGATGAGACAAAGAGTAACAACATTGATTGGAGTCAAGGAAGAAGCAGGAGATACCACAAATGACATTTAAAAACGTTCACAGACATCACAGGAGAAAACGTTCCTAATAGAGAAAAAGAATGTGACACAATGAGGCATACAGAACTCCAATTAGCCATGATCAAAAAATATCCACAGCTAGGCATATCATACTCAAGATTCCAGAAATTCAACACAAGAATAGAATCATAAAAGCTGTGAAGAAAAGAAACTAACCACCTATAAAGGACAACCCAAGAGAATCACAGCAGATTTCTCAATACAAACTCTCAAGAAAACAATAGCTTGAAGTGAACTACTCCAAGTTCTAAAGGAAAACAACTTTCAACCCAGATTGATGTACCTTGCAAAAAAACTATCTTTCAAAATTGATGGAGAAGATACTTCCATTACAAAGAACGTCTGAGGAAATTTATGATCACCAAATCATCATATGAAAATGTTCTGAAGGACATTCTATAAACAGATAAGGCTCCATGAACCCAACAGAAGGAATCCACCAGGGAAGGCAAACAATTAGAGGGGAAAACGGGGAGAGGGGGCCCCACAGGAAAATAACATGACAAAGATAAGTCAGTATGTATCAGTTACAATCATCAATGTTAACAGTCCCAATTCATCAATCAAAAGGCACACACTGGCAGAATGGATCAAGAAGCAAGACCCAACAAAATGCTGCATACAAGAAACAAATTTAATTCAAAGACTGAAGAGCAAAAAGTGGAAAAAAAATACTCCATATGACAGGAATCCAGAAAAAAGCAGGGGTAGGGTAACTATTCTATTTGCAGACAAAATGAATTTTAAGCTATGACTGATAAAGAGAAAGAAAGCTACCTCATCCTCATAAAGGAAGCAATTCAAGAAGAGATAAAAATCATATATATACAACAAATATTACTGCATCCAACTATACAAAACAATTACTAATAGACATGAAAAATCAAATAAGCCCTAACACAATTGTATTGGGAGACCTCAATACCCCACTAACACAAAAAGTCAGATCAACTAGACAAAAAAAAAAAAGCCACCCATAATGAAATATTACAACTAAATGAAACTTTTGAACAAATGGACTTAGTAACATCTATACACTGTTCCACCCCACATCAGAATACACATTCTTTGCTGTACATGGACATTCTCCAAAATAGACCACATATCGTCTCACAGAACATGCTTTACGTAAAGGCAAAGGAATTCAAATTATCCCATGCATACTATCAGACCACAGTACAATGGAATTGGAAATCCATGACAAAAGAAACCACAAGAACTTCACAAACCCATGGAAATTAAACAGCACCCTATTGAACAACCAATGGGTCACAGATGAAATTAAATTAGTTTTTACAGTTGAATGATAATAACAATACAACAAATTGAAATGTGGGACACAATAAAAGCAGTCTTAAGAGGGAAAATTTATAGCAGTTAACTATCCGTATAAGGAAACAGAGCAAGTGCATTTAAACAACTTAACGTTAAACCTCAAACTTCTAAAAAAAGAGCAAGCTAAGCCAAAAGCTCACACCTGGGAGAAAATTATAAAGATCAGAGCAGAAACTAACACACTAGAGACTAAAAAAAGAAAAAAATACAAAGAATCAATAAATTGAAGATTTGGTTCTTTCAAAGAGTAAATTTACAGACCCTTATCAAACCGTATCAAAAAAAAGGAAAGATGACTTCCAGGAGAAGATGGCGGACAGATAGCATCAGCTACGGAGGCTCTCTGAAAGACCCAGCTTAGAATCCAGAAATGGTGCGGAGTAAGGAATCCTAAGCAAGAGAGGAGATATGCCCTGCTGACCCAAGAACGAACTGGGCTGAGAGAAACCAACTGGGAATGCAATCCTGGTGCTATAACAGAAACAGATAAAGCCTCATCATGGAAGCTGGAGCCTGTGCCATTGGAAACCACAATTTGGGTTTCCTGCTGCCGCGGCTGCATCTAAATAGGCTCGGCAGGGAGACAGACGCGCGAAAGCTCTGAGAACAGGAATTGGTGAACGAAGTTGAGAGCAGGAAGGGCGGGGAGCCTTACATCAACCTGTGGTGAGTGAGAGAAACTGGGACTCTTCCATGATCTAGGAGGCTCCAAAAGAGGACATTCTGGGACCAGGCAGACTTGCCGGAACAGGGCGCTGTAGTGACTTCAGTCACATATCCCCCTCACAAGCGGAAGTGGTGAGCAGTGCCTAGCTTATATGACGTGCTGGCTGAGACCCAGTAGGCTAGCACAGCCCAGGTCCCAGCACCTGAAGGTGATCTGGAGGGGCGGGCCCCACATAGGCTGCCTGGTCCGTAACTCCCTGGTGCACTGC